CGGAACCCACGGCGGCTCACTGTCACTACCCTCGTCTTTCAGAAATTGCCTAAGTTGTTCAGGATCCATTCCCAGATGTAGGTTCGAACATAGCTTGTAATGTATGTTTTTAACGTTCATTACCCTTAAACCCCCTAAAAAATCCGCATAAAGCCATCAAATATTATAGTCTGTTATAGGGCCCCCAAACCTACTCAGAATCTGCTAACCGCCAGGCCATGTAAACGCGAGCCGTGCTGCTGAAGCATTGGGGCAGCTGTCTGCGCTACATGCGACGCTTCGCAGGGCAGGTCCCGTACTGAAAACGGATCCCTAAACCTTAAACCCTAAACCCCAAACCCCAAACCCTAAACCCTAAACCCTATTGGGGCAACGGGCTTTGGGCCTGAGATGTCAAAAGCAGTCTCGGAGCTCAACGTCTGACATCTTAGTGAAGTTGGGGGGGGGGGGGGGCCCCTGACGGGACAGGGGCTTAGGGTACTTGGAGGTTCATGGTACTTCTTGTTTAGGGTTTAGGGTTTAGGGTTACTAGCCAATCATAACTGTAGTTAGAACTGTACGCATAACCATATTAGGGTGGGTTCTTGGTACAGTTACCAGTTATATGTGGTTAATGAGTACCATGAACCTCCAAGTAGGCCCTTCGGACATTTTGTATTTTGCCTTGTTGGGTTTAAGAGGGTCATATCCAGGAATATTTTTCAGAGGGCTTTAAGGGCCATCCTACTTGAGGGTAGAGGGTTTAGGGACAGGATTTTGCATGCTGTTTTAGGCCCATCAGAAGCAGCCTTCAGAGTAACGCCAGTTGTGGTGTTGCAGGAATTGTGCGGTCTCAGTCGAGTTTGGGACAGCAATGGTCAAAGTGTGCAACACTTCAGTTTAGGGTTAGGGTTTAGGGTTTCGGGTTTAGGGTTTAGGGTCTAGGGTTTCCCCCCAAACCGAAGCGCAAGCCAGTGTCGATCGGCTCGTCAGGCAGCGGCTCCCGTCTTGCTGCGCTCGGGGCGCAGTTCAAGCATGAGGCAGAGGCGCCGAGGAGTGTGTCAACTCTCTGGATGACGATGACGATGACGATGATGATGATGATGACGATGACGATGATGATGATGATGATGATGATGATGATGACGATGATGATGATGATGATGATGATCCTGGATGCAACTGCTTCTTTGTTCTATCATCAAAAGGCTGCTTGCTTCTCTTACACTTCGGGTCTTGAACTTTTTTGGCGGTATCGCCACTGAAAGCCACCCGCAGGTGCTGCAAGAAGCCGCAAAGCGGCGTGGCAGAGAAGTGGTGCTTTGCGGTCAGGAAAGCTGAGAGTCGCAGTTGAGGAGAGGTTTTTGGACTGCTTTGGTTCGGCTTGCCGACTGCGGAAAGCCGCATAATCGGTGTACTTGTCTGTGCAATCAGGCTATTTTTGGCCGAGGCCTGCAGTCTTTAATCAACGTTAAAGAAGATTACCTTGAAAAAAGCGCGGACGGCGAGCAAAAGCGTGGGAGGGTCACAGTTTGTAACAGACCTAGACGATGATGGGATGATGTTTTCACCCTGTGTGCAGTTTGCAGCTTAACCCCCCAAACATGCATGTTGACTAAGGCAAGAACTGCAGGTACTTGGCATCTACAAGGACCTGCGCACTACTCTGTGGCGCTTGGTTCGATATCCTGTTGCAGCTACCACAGTGTGCGTGGCTCAACTGATTTATGTTGATGTTTTTGCACGCCAGTTGGCTCGAAACGATCTGACCGCAGGAACATGGCAGGGTCACAAGCACCTCAGCACGTGCCTGGAGGAAAGAGGCGCAAGTGCAGGACGGGAGTCTGATCGCAGCATCGCATGGTGTGATGTAATGAAACTGCGCAGTTTGCCCTAAACCCTACACCCTAAGCCCTGGACCCCAAACCCTAAACGCCAAACCCTAAACCCTAAACCCTAAACCGCAACGAGGAAGAGCACCATGCCTTGATTGCAATGGACCGGATTTGGTGGGAGCTGCGCGGCAAGCTGGATGACACCCATTTGCACCAGTTCGGGATGCTGCTACTATACAGTACAGCTGCTATCTAAAAGTACTGTACATAGGTGTCCCAGTTTTCGTGATGTTCCATAAGAAAGAGCTGCCGTCGGCAAAAGCAAGTTCGAGCTGAAATATGAAGCTCCGTCCTAGGAAGATGATGCCCTGAAAGAGTCTCACACAATGAACCAGCAACAGCTTCAATGAACAGCTGAGGATTACTTGGAGGCGCCGAGTTGCGTGCTCTTGCCGCTAAACCGTAAGTAGCCTGTAGGGTCAAATTTTGAACAGATCCTTAAAGGGTGTTGGAGGAGTGCCTTGCACATGTTCTGGGTGAGCTATGGTTGGGGCTTCCTGGACTTGCGTTTAACTGCAACTTCTTGAAGTCAACGGCTTCAGAGACTGACTTCCGCTTGTAGGGATTCATGCCAGCCTCGGGGGCATGTGACGAAGAACCGTGCGAGGAGAGTAGATTGAGCAGATGTGGGGCCCGTCTCGGACCCAGAGTAGGCCCTTATTCCCTTTCTTGAGTATAAGCCCCTTTCAACCAAAAAGGGCACCCGTTTTATACCTAGGTTACTCTTGGGTCTATTCGTCTTTAGTTGGCAGAATCAGGGTTTTTTTGTGACGTCTCACTTTCCCTTGCCAGTGAGGCCAAGAATAAGTTGGACAAACTCAGCAAGAAGGGCAAAAGAAGACCGTACGATTAGTTTCCTAAGGGTTGCAGTAGGCGTAGTAGTAGCAGAAGAAAGAAGAAGTAGTAGTAGTAGTACTACTACTACTACTACTACTACTACTACTACTACTACTACTACTACTTTTACGAGCACTAGTACTCGTACCAGTAGTTAGTTGGAACCCTAAACCCTAAACCCTAAACCCTAAACCCTAAACCCTAAACCCTAAACCCTCAACCCTCAACCCTCAACCCTAAACCCTAAACCCTAAACCCTAAACCCAGTAGTGGTAGACGATGGATTTTCCTACCGCAAGGCGGCCGAGCTCCAGGTTGCAGCACTCCAGGCTCGGCTTCAAGAATCCAGGGGTTTGGGTTTAGGGTTTAGGGTTTAGGGTTTAGGGTTTAGGGTTTAGGGTTTAGGGTTTAGGGTTTAGGGTTTAGGGTTTAGGGTTTAGGGTTTAGGGTTTAGGGTTTAGGGTTTAGGGTTTAGGGTTTAGGGTTTAGGGGTTCTACCTTGGACCCTTAAGCTTGTACTATTGGGTTTTGGGGACTTTTTTTCTAAGGTAGTATAAGGGCCATATTGGGAGTATATTGAGGAGAACCTTTAGGGGTACCCCTCTAGGGGTACGAGTCTTATTCACTTGAAAGACGCCTGAGCTGAGCACTAGGACGAAGATTCACTTGCTTCTACAAGCAAAGAGCCAGCCGGAATCCGGGCTTTGCACAGCAACGTATTCTACTAAACCTAAACCCTAAACCCTAAACCCTAAACCGCCTAAACCCGAAACCCTTTACTCTTCTTTTGCTTCCGCATGCTTCCGCCCTTGCCCGGCTCCGTTCCTTCCTGGGACAGGACTCCCTTGCGGCTATGGCCTCGTACGAGCTCCTTGGAGCGATCTTTCACGGTTGCCATGCACTAAGGAAAGGGTTTAGGGTTTAGGGTTTAGGGTTTAGGGTGTAGGGTGTAGGGTTTAGGGTTTAGGGTTTAGGGTTTAGGGTTTAGGGTTTAGGGTTTAGGGTTTAGGGTTTAGGGTTTAGGGTTTAGGGTTTAGGGTTTAGGGTTTAGGCATTGGGGTGTAGGGTTATGAGTAGGGGGACGTCTGCATCAGAGCGGGACAGCAGGTCTTCGAGGTCTGGTGGTGTCCTGACTGCCAACCCATGACCACCTGGAGGTTTATGGTACTTGTTAACCAATTATAACTATACTTATAACTGTACTTATAAGCCCCTTAAGTGCCCTAATAGGGTTATAAGTACAGTTATAAGTACAGTTAGAATAGGTTAATAAGTACCATGAACCTCCAAGCACAAACATGCACTTGGCCTCTTCACTTGCCTAGTATGCAAGAGTACGACGAAGCATATGGGGTTTGCGAAAACAGGTGATTCCTAAAATTGACCCCAAATAGTAGGATGCCGTTACAAAGAGGACCCCGATAAGGCACCCCTAGAATCGTAAACCCCATACAAAATTTGAGAAAGACAGCCTCTCCGAGAGACCTCAGGCATTGCAGCTCGCACCTAGAAGAGGCCAGTCTTGGCGTCCGCCTGCAACCTGTTGATCATACCTTGGGATGTTCCCCCCTTATACTAACCGTCCTTAATAGGGATTATAGTACCCCCGATTATAATCCGCATTAAGGACTGTTCGTATAAGGAGTAACATCATACCCAGCCTTCCAAGCCTCCTGTTGGATGTGCAGGTACAGCGGAAATACGCACAAAGTTTGTTGGCCAGGGATCGTGGCCACACGGCGCTGAGGCGGGGACGAACGGTCTCCACATCCACGGCATGCTAATGCTTTCGCTGCTCACCTTAATGAATGCTTTCGTTGTGGGGCTTGCAAAACCGGTGCAGAGTGTGTTTGCTAATGTTTGTTTCGGAGGACGATCATCGGAATCTTGGTCCGTGGTGTTGTGATTTTCAAGCCAGACTGGCACGAGCATTGATGGCTTTGACGGAGGTGAGTGACATGCCGTCAAAGTGTGCCGCCTCATGCCCAGATGTGCGTAGGATAGTGTGCTGTTACCACTTGGAGCACATGAACACACCAAGACAAAACCCTAAACCCTACTAAAGGCCCTAAAGGCTTGGCGAAGCCCGAGCCTACAATGCACGTTTTCTTGCAGGTCCATCCAATTCGTACGCGACAGACCCGGAAAGTCCGCTCTTGAAGCCTTGACTCCTACAGTCCCTTCACACAGTCGACCTTCTCGTTGCATCTTTAAGACAGGGGTCGGAAGAATGCCGCATAGCATTCCCTTAATGTCCCTATACAACTCTGCTACAACTACCCCCCCCCCCCCAAAAAAAAAAAAAAAAAAAAGAACTGACTCTAATTCTTCGGGCCCCCGGAACCCTAGCCCTAAACCCTAAACCCTAAACCCTAAACCCCAAACCCCAAACCCCAAACCCCAAACCCCAAACCCCAAACCCCAAACCCCAAACCCCAAACCCCAAACCCCAAACCTAAACCCTAAACCCTAAACCCGAAACCCTAAACCCTAAACCCTAAACCCTCTGTGAGGGCCACCTGGCGTGCCTGCTCGCGGCTCCTGGGCGAGCTAGCCTCGGTGGTCGCGGATGGCGACGTCTTCGGGACATTTGCGCCGCAGCTCAACAGGGGTAACTCCCAAAATAGGGTTTAGGGTTTAGGGTTTAGGGTTTAGGGTTTAGGGTTTAGGGTTTGGGTTTTGGGGTTTAGGGTGTAGGGTTTAGGGCTAGGGCTTAGGGTTTCAGGTTTGGGGTTTGGGGTTTAGGGCGTACTTGTCTACCCCTCACAATAGAATCTCCGAAAAGGGGCCACCAAACAGGGTACCCCCATTTTTTGGAAACCCCAAGTAGGCCAGGGCTTTTGCTCCACAGCCACGGAAATCTGCGTGGGCCTGAGGCCAAGAACAAGGTCATGAGGTTGCATTGGTTTCTTGAAGGCCCTTGGGTCATGAGGTAAGCGATTAAGCGATTCGTTGCTTGTCAAAGGTGCAAGTGGAGGGATGCGATTCCCGCCTGGCTGCGCAGACCTTTCGGTGCCTCGCTTGCTCCAGACCTGTTGCTTGAGCACGAGATGTCGCAATTCCTACACCTGCTGACCCAAGGCAAGCACGATCTGCCGTGGGAGGCATGAAGCTCTTGATCCACCGCTTCAAGGCCAGCCTCAGAGTAAAACGACAAGCGAGTTTCGAGTTTCGCACAGTGCGCGGAGGATCTTGGCAATAGGAAGAGTAGCAGCAAGAGCAAGAATCAGAATCGTGCTAGAAGTCGCAACAATAAACAATAACAATAACAATAAGAGAGACAATAGTAATTCATAGTATTAATCATATTGCGAATAGTAATCGCAATAATAATTGTGACAGCAACAATCATTGAGTGGTAATGGCATGCAAGACACAACAAGTCGGTTCAGGGTTTAGGGTTTAGGGTTTAGGGTTCAGGATTTAGGATTTAGGGTTTAGGGTTTAGGGTTTAGGGTTTAGGGTTTAGGGTTAGGGTTTTTGCTTTTCTTGGCAGGTGGCGGGTCTGGCGGCTCCGGATGTGAACACCGTGCTTCAATCGACGAGGCTGGTGGTCAGGAATAGTAGCTCACCCATAGCCAAAATCCCTAAACCCTAAACCCTAAACCCTAAACCCTAAACCCCAACACTTGAACTTTAAGTTTGTTGGGCTTCCCTGTTTAGTAGGAAGAATAAAGGTGAACCCTTTCTTCCCTTTGTTACTAGAGAAGTAGGGTAAGCAGTAAGAGTCGTGGTGGTGGTGATAGTAGTTCTAATATGCAGCAGGGACTCGTAATCACATGAAGTCCCTCGCCATCATTATGGTATGGCATATGTGTGAGTCAATGTGAGTTTCATATCGGCGGAGCTTCCTGCGTTCAGGCTGGTTTGTGTTGGCGGACTTCACTTGTCGCTAAAGCATCCAGCACAACTTCTGTCAGATTTTGAAGCCCTATACCCTGAACCCGAAACCCCGGACAGCCAATTGGAGACCCCTTGAGCGCGAATTGCCAGGAGAGTGGGACCTTCTGACAGAAACCAGCATGGAACCCTAAACCCTAACCCTAAACCCTAAACCCTAAACCCTAAACCCTAAACCCTAAACCCTAAACCCTAAACCCTAAACCCTAAACCCTAAACCCTAAACCCTAAACCCTAAACCCTATACACTAAACCCTAAACCCTAAACCTTAAACCCTAACCCTCGATGCCCTGACAGAAGTCTCAAGAGGAGGTACGAAAGGATGAGGTTGCCAACAAAAAGGTGGAAATTCTGGAAAGGAGTCCGAAATTAGGGGTACCCTCTTGGGGCCCTTTTTGAGGGTATTCTACTCCAAGTTTGTCATGGAGGGGAAATTCTGGAAAGGGCGTAGGGGTGTCCGAACTTAGGGGTACCCTTTTTTTGGGGGGGCCCTTTTTGAGGGTATCCTACTCCATTTTGGCATAAAAGGGGTACCCGTATTCTGGGAAATGCCCACGTTGTGAGAAGACCCTAAACCCTAAACCCTAAACCCTAAACCCTAAAGGATGTTGTGAGAATCCCAAAAAGAGGTTGCCCAAGATGTCACGTCAGAGCCATGAGATGGTGAGGCGCCTTCAGGCCAGCTTCAGGAACCTTGGCTGGAAGATGCTCAAGGGGTTTTAGGGTTTTGGGTTTTGGGTTTAGGGTTTAGGGTTTATAGAAATTGTATAGGGTTAGTGTCCGGAGTTTTGTCGGGTTTTGGGGGGTTCTGGGGGGTTTTTGCCGGGCTTTGTTCTTTTAACTTTTCCAACTTGGTTTTGGGATTAGGGTTTAGGGTTTGGG